GCGTTACCGAATATTGCATACATTTTGTGTATTATGTGTATTATGAGAATACTGAGGTCGGACTGTTACAACATCCAAGACTTTCACTTTCATACTTATAGTAGTGACAATAAAGAATATAATGAAATATCCTTGAAGGTCTGTATAGGCTACCATCCATCTGACAGCAAGCCACCGTCTGCTTGCAATTTTCATATTGTTTGAATTCCTCAGAATTAAGTGATCCTTAATTGTGATGGTGTAAGTGCGTGTGGTAACAATAATTATAGCATCAGGAACAAACAAATATTCTTCAAAAGCACTGGATATTATTCATTATTTTAATGTACTACAAGTATTTATCTAGACATTCTCTCTCGCACAGACAAATACTGCTCCTAAAAAGCTTATGCTGACATAGTAGTAGTAGAAGATAAATACAGATACAATTAAAAAACAAAACTATTAACTTTATATCACCTAAATTAAATAGGAAGCCGCTTACAGACGCTCACATGTAAACACAACACTGACGTCTTCACTTCAAGGTTAAGAATCTGTCCATCAAAAACTCAGTAGCCAATGAGAACACACCACTGTTAGCCCCGCCCCCACGATAGTTTTGTGCCTGAACCATAGGGCCTGAACCGCGACCAAAAACATCCCGGGTTACATATGTAACCCTAGTTCCCCAAAGGGACGGACGCTGCGTGTAATCGCAGTGGGAACGCCTCCAGCGTAGTGCGTCTGAAGCATGAATGAAATCAGTCAATGGAGAGAATGAGCGTCACAGCGAGTGACGTCATCGACCAGGAAACTATAAAGCACCCCAGAATCATAAGCACGCCAGCTTCTGATGTTACTGAAGCAAACGATCCAAGGGGATGCCGGAGAATGGCAGGACACGCAGCGTCCGTCCCTTCGGGGAACTAGGGTTACATACGTAACCCGGGACGTTCCCCTTCAGGGACTACCGCTGCGTGTAATCGCAGTGGGAACGCAATACCCACGTCCCCATACGAACAAGTCCCAGTCGTGTGTGATTAGGAGACACAAGCCGACGAGAGAACCTGAGCCCCAGGAGTGGAGCTAAAATCAAGAGAATAAAATCTGACAAAAGTGTGCGGTGAGGACCGGCCTGCCGCATCACAAACATCTTGAAAAGAAGCCTCTGAAAGAAGAGCTCTAGAGGCAGCCATGCTCCTAGTAGAATGGGCCCGTACAGCCAACGGTGAAGGCTGACCGGCCGAAACGTAAGCAAGTGAGATGGCCTCGACCACCCACTTGCTCATTCTTTGCTTAGATGCAGGACACCCCTTGTTAGGTGACCCGAAACAGACAAACAATTGTTACGATTTCCTCCACAGGGCAGCTCTGTGGACATACGAATCTAAAGCCCTAACGGGGCACAGCAAGTTAAGTTTCTCCTGGTCTGACGTCAAAAAAGGCGGAGGACAGAAAGCCTGCAGTACTATAGGTCTAACAGAAGTAGTTGGTACCTTAGAAACATAACCTGGTCTCGGAAAGAGAAAGGCCTTAACCATACCAGGAGCAAATTCCAGGCACGAGGGAGCCACGGAAAGTGCTTGGATATCTCCTATTCTATATCTTAAGAGTAAGAAACGTTTCCGAAACTTCCTCGATGGGCTCGGAAGGAGCTAAGGAGAGACCTTCTAAGACAATGGCCAGATCCCTAGATGGTACCCTCGTGCGAACTGCTGGCCTCAGCCTCAAGGTACCACGAAGGAAGCGAGATATAAGTGGGTGTCTCCCAAGGGAACCTCCACTCGAAGGGGCGTGGTAAGCAGCTAAGGCCGCCACATACACTTTCAGTGTGGAGTGGGATAACCCCGTGGAGAGACGATCCTGCAGGAACTCCAGTACTGTACTAACTGGGCAGTTAACTGGGTCCTGCTGGCGCTCTCCACACCAAGAGGTGAACATTTTCCACCTCGCGGCATATAACTTCCTCGTGACCACGGCCACGGATGTACCTCGGCCACGGATGTACCATCGCGTCCAACCCCAGCGGGGCTGGATGGCTGAGAAAGAACCACAGTGGACAGTGTGATGTCTCTCGGGAAGCAAATAGGTCTACCTCGGCACGACCGAAATGTTCCCATAGGAGCTCCACCACCTCGGGGTGAAGAATCCATTCCCCGGGCCTCGGCCCCTGCCTCGACAGGATGTCTGCCCCCTGATTTAAATACCCCGGGAGATAAATAGCTCTCAGAGAAAGAATTTTCCCCGGGGACCATAGAAGGATCTGACGTGCCAGTTTGTAAAGCGGGCGAGAACGCAGACCCCCCTGATGTTTGATATAAGAGACCACCAATGTGTTGTCTGTTCGGACAAGAACATGGTGGCCCCTTAGATCTGGAAGGAAGTGTTTCGGAGCCAGAAACACTGCCAACATCTCTAGACAGTTTATGTGCCAAAGACGATGATGGTCCTCCTACAGACCCTGGGCTGGGCGGCCACTCATGATCGCCCCCCAACCCGTGAGAGAGGCATCCGTCGTTAGCATTACGCGACGACAAGGAACTCCCAACACAGGACCTCGGGACAGAAACCAAGGATCTTTCCACATGATCAGGGCGCCATGACACCGTAGCGAACTCATGATCATGCGGAGCGGATTTCCCCTCGGGGAGAATCCCTTGGTTCTGAGCCACCACTGTAACGGTCTCATGTGCAAGAGGCCAAAAGGAATCACGTTGGACGCAGCTGCCATGAGACCTAACAGTCTCTGGAACTGTTTTACAGTGGATGACTGGCCTAGCTTGACCTGATCTACTGCGGCGAGAATCGAAGCAATACGAGCAGGTGACAATTGTGCCTGCATCGTCGTCGAATCCCACACTACACCGAGAAAAGTGGTTCTCTGTAATGGAGAAAGCACACTCTTCTTGTCGTTGAGCCTCAACCCCAATCTCTTGATGTGAGCAAGAACGACATCTCGATGCCGAACCGCCTGTGTTTCCGATTGAGCTAGAATTAACCAATCGTCGATATAATTCAGAATGCGGATGCCCTGCAGCCTTAGCGGGGCTATAGCTACATCCATGCATTTCGTGAATGTTCGGGGTGACAATGCTAGGCCGAACAGAAGAACCCGATATTGGTACGCTTCGCCCCCGAAAGCGAACCTCAGGAACTTCCTGTGTTGAGGGAGGATAGATACATGGAAGTAAGCGGAGTAAGCTTTTAGATCTATCATGACAAACCAGTCCTCGGATCTGATTTGTGACATGATCTGTTTGAGAGTGAGCATCTTGAATTTGAGCTTCCCTCCTGTGCGATTTAAGAGACGCAGATCTAAAATGGGACGCAACCCCCCATCTTTCTTCGGAACGATGAAGTACCGGCTGTAATATCCTAACTCCCAGCTGGGGGGAGGAACTCGCTCTATAGCTCCTTTCAGCAGCAGAGTGGCAGAGGGCACGAGACGCAACACTCTGTTTTTGTTGCACTCTTTTAAAGAAACTACTCGGCGACTGAGGCTGCCCTTGGCCAGCAGCCCCAGGAATTTTCACTTTAAGGGGCATAAATCTCTGAAATGCTGCTGACTGTCTTTTTTCTTCCTGGAACCTCTCAGTAACAGACTGCAAAGCATCACCAAATAAGCCCATAGAGGATACAGGGGCGTCTAACAGAACACATTTCTCTCTTTCTTGCATTTTAGTTTGATTTAGCCATAAATGCCTCTCTGTGGCCACCAGGGCTGCCATAGAGCGACCGATTGTTCTGGCCATCTGCCTGGTGGCTCGAAGAGCGAAATCAGCTGTCTGTCTGAGCTCATTGATAGTCTCAACGGAAATTTCCCCCTGCCCGCTAGCTTCCTTAAGCAGATCAGCCTGATAAGCTTGCATAAAAGCCATCGTGTGCAAGCACGCGGCTGCCTGTCTCGCCGCCGAATAAGCCTTCCCCACCAGCGCTGATGTATTTTTCAAAGTTCTGGTGGGGAGAGCCGGTGTTTTCAGCGATGATGCCGACTCGGGAGAGAGATAGCTCGCGAGCGTCTCCGCCCTGGGCATCGTCTCAGCAGAAGCGGGACCCGAGCCGCGTGGAGCGCGCACCGAACCGCCCTCCTTCGAAGAGCGATCGGCGAGAGCGCAAGATCCTCAAAGGAAGATGCTCACATTGCTCACAATCGGCCCCCTCGAGAGCCGACTGGGCATGCTGCTCTCCCAAACAAACCACACATAATAGATGCGAATCCCCGCCTGTAATGTATCTAGTACAGGGGGGAACGCATCTCTCATAATGAGGCTCGCTCGTCATTTGCTTTTGGCTCATCTTACTAATATATAGAGATATATAGACAGTTCAAACACACACAGAGCGCTGCTGAAGTAACAGAAGCTGGCGTGCTTATGATTCTGGGGTGCTTTATAGTTTCCTGGTCGATGACGTCACTCGCTGTGGCGCTCATTCTCTCCATTGACTGATTTCATTCATGCTTCAGACGCACTATGCTGGAGGCGTTCCCACTGCGATTACACGCAGCGGTAGTCCCTGAAGGGGAACTCAGGGAGCGTAAATGAAAACTCTGGAAGCGCATTTGTAACAGATCAGCGAAAGAAAAAAGACAAAAACAGTTAGTAAAACATACAGTGTATAAAAACAAAGTAAAAAAAATTGCCTGCAATTTATTTATTTTTTGGTTTCAAAGACATTTTATTAAATTTCAATTTATATTTTCATTCATTTCTTGAAAAGTTATGTTCAATTTTAAAGGCACAAAAATAATTCCATGGTTTATCAGGTTGGTGCCTGTATAAGGCCTGTTGAACTTCATTCTCAAAAAGAGTAAAGCACTTGGTTTGGAACCTGACTTCCTGTACTGTAAATAATGTCATGCTTGGTCTGCAGCTATATTTCTACTATGTTGTTACTCAGTTTGCCAATGTCTGTGTTTTCAGGTAGCACCATGCAGACTTTTTTTTTTTTTTTTTTTGCCCATTGTTAAAACTAAACTTTTAATAGGATATATTAAAATGTTTTGTTTGTTCCCACAGCTCGCAGGTACAGGAGTTTTTGCTCTTGGCCTCTGGGTACGTTTCAATGAAAGAACTAAAGAACTCCTTACTGCAGATTCCCCATCTGTGTCCTTCACAGGTGAGATTTGTCCATTCCCAAGCTAGATTCCTCAGTTCTTAATATCTTAATATCTCAGTGAATCAGAAATCCACCTTTATCTCCCAACACCATGATCGCACATGCTTCCTTTGTCACCTACATGATCAGGTCTTTGTGAGTTGATGTTTGGGAATGAGGTAAAATGGTTGTCATGGAAACCAGCCACACCTATTTCCAGGAACCAAACCATCTGTCATGTGAATGATGTGTCATGAACACTATGATTATAACATGAAGCAAATGAAAGGCCATTCATGAGTCTGAAGTGAGACGAGTTGTTTTGACTTCTCTATAGTTGATCAGAATATGTATGTATTACAGACACTACTGGTCAACTGTTTGGAGTAATTAAGTGGGTTTTTTAATTATTTTTTTTTATAAAGAAGTCTCATGTTCTGACCAAAGCTTAGTTGATCAAAAACACAGTAAAAACAGTACATTTATGAAATATTACAATTTAAAAGAACCGTTTTCTATTATATAATATAATTTATTCATGTGATTGGCAAAGCTGAATATTCAGCGTGATCTTCGGTGTCACATGATCCTTCAGAAATCATTCTAATATGCTGATTTGCTGCTTAATTTTACTGTTTTACTGTATGTTTGATCAAATGAATGCAGCCTTGTTAAGCATAAGAGACTTCTTTCAAAAACATAAATCTTTATAAATTATTCCAAACTTTTGAACAGTTGTGTACAATAACGACATCACCCTGACTTGGTCATTCAGCGTTCACTGAACAATCCAGTTCTTAAAGCAACGCAAATGGCATGGCGACTACAAAACACATCCAAATTCAAAGCACTCCATCTATTCTTCTATGCTTTGTTTGTTTTTATCAAAGGCCCAAAGATTAAATTCCTTGCAGAGAAAGACCACAAAGCAACAACCAGCGAATTGCACTTTAAACCATAAAAAGTTTATAATGGAGTTATAATGGCAGTGCTGTTTTGGAGGAGGTTGGCTTTGGTCCACACGATGTCACCTCTCTGCCCCTTGCCATCATCCTTTGTCTGTTTGTCTGTGCGGTGTCAATTGGCCTCATGGATACATCACATAACATTTGAATGGAATTTTGTTTTGCATATTTTGCTTTGCATAGCCTTTTCTGATAAACAATTAAGTAAGACTTTCGTTCATCTTCGGAACACAAATTAAGATATTTTTTATTAAATCTGAGAGCTGGATCACTCATCCATAGGCTTCTAAAGGGATCGAAACTGGCCGGCGCATAAAAGTTAAAGACATCGTTAAAAATAGTCCAAGTGACTACAGTGGCTCAATCTTAAGTTTATCAAGCGACGAGAATACTTTTTGTGCGCAAAAAAAACAAACAAAAATAACGACTTTATTCAACTATTAATTTCCTTCTCTGTGGGCCTCGAGATTTCACATAGTGAAACTGCGCAAAGCTTCTGTGTTGCATGTGATCCAGCTCTCAGATTTAATCAAAAATATCTTAATTTGTGTTCCAAAGATGAACGAAAGTCTTACGGGTTGGAACAACATGAGGGTGAATAATTTCATTCTGTGGTGAACCAACCGTTTAAGGTAGCTAAAGGAAAAAGTTATCATCTATACATTAAGCAAAATGTGTGTCTGTAATAAACTGAATCTGAGAACAGTAAAATTTACAGTAAATGCCCTTGATTTCAAGTATTTTTTCCAGATGAGCAGCCAAAGAAGTGAGATGAATGTAAAGGTACAGGGGAATAAGAGATATTCTGTCTTTCTCTGTCCTCTGTCCAGGGGTCTACATGCCCATTGTGGTAGGTGCCGTCATGATGGTGCTCGGGTTCCTCGGCTGCTGTGGAGCAATAAAAGAATCGCCATGCATGCTGGGAATGGTGAGTCTTCCTACATTCTTCTACAGCACAAAACAAAAAGATTTAGTTTTTTTACATTCGTTTTAGGGGGTGTATATGCAACATCGTTTTCAACAAACAAACAGAAAACTTTTTATGAAAAAACAATACCATTTTTTTACAACGATACCATTATCGTCTCCATGTAAACTACAAAAAAAATTGTGAAAGTGGTGATGTCATGTATTACGTGTTCAGTCTATAGATGCGTAGTGTTTCTTTACAAAGTGACATCGACAACTACTGGCCTGACAGCAGAATACAGTGCTTTTAGTCACTGATCCATGTAAACTGGAATTCTGTTTGGCAAAATTGTCATCTATGCGCAAAACTTTTCAAAAACATGTTTTTAGTACATTGTTGTCGTGTAAAGTACCCTTTAGGCTACAACGGGCACCAGGTAAAAAGTGCATTTGATTTTAATACATTTTGATGTCACGCCCATTACTCCAACCTGTAGATACCCACTCTTGGAAACATTCATGTTTCACTATGCACAGGGAAATTTGTCTGATTCTTTACACAATGGCAGGCATATATGCATACAAACACACATGCATTTTACCCAAAATACTATATTGTTACATATTAGGGCTGCACGATTAATCGAAATGTTACCGCATGCGATTTGGTAAAGGCTGCAAGTATTTTATGCGCAGCTTGTCAGTGAAGTACGGCTCTGTGTGTTCAGTAGTGAATGCTGCTTCCAGGATTAAAATCCTGCAGCGCACGCAAGGTCCCCCTGCTCAAGCCAGCGCATGTCCAGGCCCGTCTAAAGTTTGCCAATGACCATCTGGATGATCCAGAGTCATGTGGTCTGATGAGACAAAAATAGAGCTTTTTGGTCTAAACTCCACTCACCGTGTTTGGAGGAAGAAGGAAGATGAGCACAACCCCAAGAACACCATCCCAACCGTGAAGCATGGAGGTGGAAACATCATTCTTTGGGATGCTTTTCTGCAAAGGGGACAGGACGACTGCACCGTATTGAGGGGAGGATGGATGTGGCCATGTATCGCGAGATCTTGGCCAACAACCTCCTTCCCTCAGTAAGAGCATTGAAGATAGGTCAGGGCTGGGTCTTCCAGCATGACAACGACCCAAAAAACACAGCCAGGGCAATTAAGGAGTGTCTGTCGTAAAAAGCATCTCAAGGTCCTGGAGTGGCCTAGCCAGTCTCCCGACCTAAACCCAATAGAAAATCTTTGGAGGGAACTGAAAGTCCGTATTGCCCAGCGACAGCCTTGAAACCTGAAGGATCTGGAGAAGGTCTGTATGGAGGAGGTTTTCTTTGAGACTGTGGTCCCAGGTCTCTTCAGTTCATTGACCAGGTCCTGCCGTGTAATTCTGGGCTGATCCATCACCCCAGAACGTCTCAGGTTACGACTGTAACCTTTGTTCCCTGAGAACAGGGAACTCAACAATACGTCATCGACGCTATGGGGAACGCCTCAGGCGTGACAGGTGTCTGAAATCACTATCAAATCACGTCAATCACATTGACCGGCGACAGCCCGTGAATCATTAACGTGAATGATTAACGTACGACCTGGAAGTATATAAGGGCGCCTTGCAAACATGACAAATCTGTCTGAAGGGACTGTACGGCAGGCGGGCCCCGAGGCATGGCAGGGAGACGTATTGTCTCGTTCCCTGTTCTCAGGGAACAAAGGTTACAGTCGTAACCTGAGACGTTCCCTTTCGAAGGGAACTCAACAATACGTCATCGACACTATGGGGAACGATATACCCACGCCGCCATGCTAAGGGGAGTGTATGCACTCAGGCAGTGACAACTGTCCGAACCAGCAAATTCAAATGAAATGCTAGATCCACTCACCCTCAGGTCACACTGGGCTGTCAGTGACATCATTCCCTACGGTCATAGCCTAAGCTATAAGCCTCACAGGAAAACCTCCATAAACATAGTTAAATGAAAGGCCTACCTGGGCCTGCTCAAAGGCCTAGGACCACAACTTCAATTAGAAGGGGTCCCTTCTAGGGAATGTGGCTAGGGAACCCGAAGGAACCCCAGCCAGTCACTATTCAGGGGAACGTACTCACCCCGAAGTGCCACCAGGACGGCCTGACCTGGCGTCAGAGCATAGACACTTAGTCTGGCCACTTCCTGTCTGTCCGAAGACAGAGCCTCTGGACACTTGCCTTAAGTAAGGCATCCAACCCGAGGGACTGCGAAGCTGGCAGTGAACCACTCGGCCCGGATCTCAGAGACGGGATATCCCGGAGAGTATGACTCAGCAAGTGCTTTCCAACCCTTACCAGCGAGGGGAGTTTCTCTACTCAATCCATGGATCTACCCAGTGCTTGTGTTTCAAACACTGAGGAGGCCTGTGAAGGCCTAAGGGCTGATCTAACAGGGAGGCCTCACAAGAGGCCTACGACCGTCTCAGGAGTCCGCGTGCTTATAGTGACCCTCTGTGAGGGGAGCACATGGTCCGCCTGGTAAGCAAACCAGGCTGTAGGCAGGAAAGAGGTTCCGGGAGGGAACCAGTAGCAGAGAATGAACACTTTAGTCGAGCCAGGGCGCAAGCTCGCCTTCTGCAGCTGCCTGATAAGGCCAGCTGAAATGATAGCAAGAGGCCACTAGCTTCCTGAACCCAGCACCGCTAGGAAACCACTCACAGGGAGGCATGGAGAGGCCTACAACCTGATAACCAATGTGGGGACCCTCAGGGAGGCCTGGAGAGGCCTACTACCTGATAACCACAATCCGTGGGAAGTCACCTTCAGGGAGGCCTGGTGAGGCCTACTACCTGATAGCAACAGTATGTGGTCACCTACAGGGAGGCCTAGAGAGGCCTACTACCCGATAACGATAGTACGTGGGGAACTCACCCTCAGGGAGGCCTGGTGAGGCCTACTACCTGATAATCACAGCATGTGGGAACTCGTCTTCAGGGAGGCCTGGTGAGGCCTACTACCTGACAGCCATAATATCTGGGAGCTTTTTCTGCTACCCGATAGAAAGTCAGTTGTCTGTCCTTGGGCTTGTCTCCAGGGAGGCCTGGTGAGGCCTACTACCTGATAGCCAATGTAGGTGGGGATTCGCCTTCAGGGAGGCCGGATTTGAGGCCTATTACCTGATAACCATCTTAAGTGGGAATTGACCTTCAGGGAGGCCTGAGGGGCCTACTACCTGATAGCAACTGGTAGCAGTTGACAGTGCGGGTGACAGTTCCAAGGCGGCCTGCTGGTGCCTAATCACATTGCCCACGGCAGTGTACTCAGCAAGAGAGCTTAGCACCCTTAAACAAGGGGAGTACAACATACGCCACTCTGCCTCAACGGAGGCCCCAGTTAGTCAGGGGCCTACCATCTATGCATGGGCGTCAGCTCAGGGCAATGCTCTGGCTACAGGGGAGCGTACTTCGACCAAAGAAGAAGTGAAGGCTTACTTCATACTCGACCCGAGCCATAGTGGTGCGAGGTAGGATAAACAGAACTGGGAGTGAAGTACTCAGACCTACCCTGAATCACAGGGGAATACTCACACCTCACCCTGAGGTCACCAGGGGCGGGCCTGCCAGCGGCTCTAGGGGTGACAGAAATGTATCTGTGCCCAACCTAGGGGAGTGGGGCTTGAATGAACGCCAACCACCTACAACCCGACGCTCGAGCAGTAGCTCAGCGAGGTAAGTGAAGCCCATACTGGCGGCCTAAATCCGTAGGCCAGTTCTGCACGGCAGGGTCGGGCAGGAGACTCAGTCTTCTTCGTGAAGCAAAAGACGGCCTAACCCTGCTCAAAAGGACTTATATACCACGGAGGCCTAACTGAGGCCTACCATGTCCCCATAAACCATCCTCTGCACCACGCTGCATCACTCTAGTCACCCCAGAATGCAGAGAAGGGGGCGGGCCTTGGCCTAACGACTCCCATGGGAGGAGGCTGATTATACAGGGATGCCAAAAACCTACATTCACAATGTGAAGGGTTAGAGGAAGAAATGCTAATTTTAGCAGGACACCTCTAATATCCCTGGCACAGCCTAGGCCAGCTACAGAGGCGGCCCTGGTGAGGGCCAACCTGTAAGCATAGATCTATCTGAGGGCTCAGAGGAGCCACAGCCTACTAAAGAATATAGTCTGTATTATTCCATACAAAGGGCTGCAGAACGCCCAACCTAATGAAAACTCAACAGAGCTCAAGGGGCGAAATACTCAGAAAAGTCAAAACGGTCCCATGGGCCGGACATAAGATCTATCTGAAGCTCTAGCGTCAGTCAGCACTCTAAGTAAAACATTCTATCAGAGAGAGACCAACTACTCTACCCTGAGGTGGCTAATAGCCCGAAGGCTAACATAGTTATCGTTCTGGCCACCTAACGGGGAACTTCAGGGCCCTGATAATCCAAAAAAGTTATCTTACCTTATTACCTTGACATGGCCCCATAACTCTATACAGGGAACGAGGTCCGTAAAGAGAAACATATTATTTTTTAATCACAAAAAATACTCTTTGAAAGACTAGCAGCTCACCTGCGGCGTGCGAAGTGAAGACTCACCAGACAGTTCTTCATGAACATGGGGTCTACCACCTTCACATACCTGAAAGAGGCACTCTCACTAACCAAGCCGAGGCGGGCCATCAGAACATTGTTCTAACCATGAGCCCAGCCTCAGGCCTGATGTAAGAAGCGCCTGGGGAGTCGGGGAAGAGAGGAAAGGGCTAGGATATAATCACGCCCTCAGGGAAGATGATCCATGACCAACGCAACGTGCGTTTGTGCCGGATCACCTCCCTCAGATCCCTCTTCTTGCGGGAGTCGCGCCTCCTCTGCGACCTACTACTCCACGGAGGAGGCGCACGAGAGGTGACACTGGCTCTCTGGCCTCATCTAAGGTCCTCGGACCATGATAGGCCAGGCCCTCCCATCTGTCTGGGCGTGGACACGGATCTCAGCGGTATGTATGTCCTGGATACAGCTGAGCGCGCCTTCGCCTCTCTGAACTTTCCAACCACCGCCAACACGGAGGTGGCGAAAAGCTCAGAGGGCGAAACCAGCGAATCGAGGAGAAAGCCTTTCTCTTTCTTCCCGATGTCGGCCAGGTTCAACCACAAATGTCTCTCCGTGGCCAGTATCGTCGCCATCCCGGAGAGCTATATATATATATATATATAAATTTTTCATTTGCGGCGCAGCTCAGAAACCGCCTCAGGGGCCCCACCCCCTGGTCGAGATCCCCCAGCAGATCGGCCTGGTGTACCTGCAACACCGCCATGATGTGCAGGCTAGCACCGGCCTGACCCGCTGACGTGTATGCTCTGCCATTCAACTGGCAGGGTTTGAGCTCTCAGTGTCGATTGTTTTCCCATCGACGCATACCCACGCTCTCCTATCCCCTCAACATCAGCGAGACTAGCCTGCTGATGTTGGTGGATACAGGCAGAGTATGGGTTCTTCCATGTCCTCTCGATCTCAGTATGAGATCGGGAAGAAAAGAAAGGCTCACCTGAGCTGGTGGTTCTATGACCGGGGAAAAAACGCTCTCATCGCGAGCGATTTCTCCCCCAACGAGCAGCCACGGCAGCTGCAGCCTGTCCGCGGCGCGTTCTATAATACCAACCAGCTCAGCATACACGGGGCAGGGTGGCTGAGAAGATACAGGAAAATATCTTATTATTACCACCCTCATCAGCCATCTCCTGTTTGTCCGGGAGAGCGCTTGCTGCCGGACTAAGTTTTCCCTTTTTTTTTTTTCTTTTTTTTTTTTACTTCATCCAAATGCAGCTTCTCATCAGCTGCCGCATCGTCTGAGAGGATTACACCCCTCTCAAGGCGATCGGCGAGCTTCATTTGTGACATCCAGACGCTGAACCCTCTTCTCTCGAGAAGAGGGACACACGCGATCACAATTTGTACAGGCAGTTCCCTCGAGAACTGCCTGTGCGCGTCTTCCTTCCCAGACAGAAAAATGCACAGTTCGCGTGTGTCACCCGGCTTCAGATATCTTGAGCACGGGTCTGCACACTTCTGAAAGCATTTCATAATTACCTGATTTTCAAAGCAGTTACAGACAAAACAGTCCCTGAAGACGAAAAGATGATTTGTCATGTTTGCAAGGCGCCCTTATATACTTCCAGGTCGCACGTTAATCATTCACGTTAATGATTCACGGGCTGTCGCCGGTCAATGTGATTGACGTGATTTGATAGTGATTTCAGACACCTGTCACGCCTGAGGCGTTCCCCATAGCGTCGATGACGTATTGTTGAGTTCCCTTCGAAAGGGAACTGGGAATATATGTATATATATATATATATATATATATATATATATATATATATATATATAAATGAATTGTGATGCACCTGAACACAGTCAGCGATATTAAATAAAAAACTAAAAATATAAGAATTAACATATATACACACAGATACTAATATATATATATGGTAACACTTTACAATAAGGTTAATTAGTTAACATTAGTTAATGTATAACTAACATGAACTAACCATTAGCAATATATTTGTTACTGTATTTGTTAATCTTTGTTAATGTTAGTTAATAAAAATACAGCTGTTCATTGTTTGTGTATGTTAGTTCACAGTGCATTAACTAATGTTAACAAGATTTTAATAAAGTGCTGTTCATTATTAGTTCATGCTAACTAATGTAGTTAACTAACGAACCTTATTGTAAAGTGTTACCATATATATATAATCTTTTTTTTTCTTCATTCTGAAGTCAGGGTTATTTTGGACAGACCGAATGAAAATTCACATGCACGTTAGAGCGTCTTTGCCAAGAAATGATTTTTTTTTTAAAGTCCTTTTTGCTGATGTCCTTGTTCACCTCATCTCTCCCTTCTTCTTGCTGCCTCCAGTTCTTCGTGTTCCTGTTTATCATTTTTGCTGCAGAGGTGGCCGCTGGAATCTGGGGATTTGCCATTCAGAAAAAGGTGGGTCACATTCATACTCTTTTTCGCCTGTTACTCGTTCATTTTCTCACAGTTGGTCCTCTTCTTTATTTCTCTCTTCCTTCTCAGGTCGTGAAAGAAATCCAGGATTCCTACAAGCAGACATTTGACAACTACAAAAACACTAAACAGAAAGCGCTGAGGGAAACTCTGAAAGATTTTCACTATGGAGTGAGTGTTCATTTTTATGGTTTGTTCAAACCAATGGAGGACAAAAAACGTAACTTTAATCTGACTGATGTTTTTCTGTGTGCTTTTGTTTAGTTGAAATGCTGTGGAAAAACAGGACTGCCGATTGATGGAGTATCTGACATCTGTCCCAAAAAGGAGGGAACTAAAAACGTTGTCACAACGGTACCAGAAACTCAATAAATAATCTTTTATCTCTTCAGTTATGTTGTGTTTTTCCCATGTACCATAGTCACCTCTTTTGTTTCTGCTCCAGAGCTGCCCAAGTGCTATTGAGGAGAACTTCACATCTAGGCTTCAAGTGATCGGAGGAGTTGGGATTGGCATTGGGGTGATCATGGTGAGTAGATGCTCCTGTGCATGGTCACCTGAGGAGATTCTTGGGCAGGTAGCCGAGTCACACTGGTGTCAGATATTAACCTGTGTCTCTTTGGTTGGCAGATCTTTGGCATGATCCTCAGCATGCTGCTGTGCCGCGCCATCCAACGACCCCGGGACAACGACAAATACAGAGTGCATGTATTTGAAAAAACTTCCAACAAAGCCTAGCATTAGTCTTACACTCAAACTATTACATGTCGTTTAGACACTGAGTGTAATAATGAATTGCGCTAGAGGCTGCTTTTAGTTTCTTTGGTGTCTCGACTAACGTTCATTTGCCTCTTTGAATGTACTTGCAAGCTTTTGATATTCTTTTGTAACCGTTTATGTGGCTTTTTTATGTACCTATGGGTGTCTAGAGAGACAGTATAGTAACACCTAGTAAATTACCAATAAAGTTGATAACTAATTGACTAATGGTAGTTATTTATTTATTTTAAGGAAACCCAATGATTTGCATTTTTATGCGCGTCGCGTTAAGTCCACTTCACTGCCATTCATAAATCCTCTCCCGTGGCCTCTTGGGATAGTAAAGTGTCCATCGTATGCACACTTCAGAATCTTGCCGTAAGAAGTAGGTCATCCGGGTACTTTTTACCTTCTCTTTTATAAGTGCTGTGAATTGGAACACACTACTTTTGTCACATACTGTTTTTCGCCTTGTGTGGAGCCATCCGATTTCAGATGCAGCTTTAAACTTACGAAAAATGTACCAAGCACAATGTTCTCTCACCATTCCTGATTTCTAACACACACTCGTGGCTATCAGAGCAGAAACGAAAGCTGCTGCTCTCCGTATGTTTTTCCGTCGTCTCCTTTCTAGTTCTATGTAAATTGCGTTGAGCTTATTTTAGATTTACACGCTCATAGACCCTCCCCTTCAAGAAATCAGGACAGAAGTGTTTGAAAGTGGACAAAAGAGACGGATTAAAAAATCAGGTGTAAACGGGAACGTCTTCCTCATTTACTTGTGTTAGCTTGTGTTAAAACACCTTTAAATAGTTTCAGAAAACCAGTTTGAAAGAATACACATTTATTGGATTTCAGAAAACCAGTTTGAAGTAATACACATTTTTTGGATTGTAATTTTTAAATAATATGATAACCCAAAAAAGAAATTCAACTTAGATGTAACTTTCTGTTGTTTTATTACAACTGACAATTTGAAGAATTGAAACTATCTCTTTATACACTACTGTTCAAAAGTTTTAGGTTGGTAAGATTTCTTATTAACTACTTCTTTTGAAAGAAGTCTCTTATGCTAACCAAGGCTGCATTTATTTGATCCAAAAAAACAGGAATATTGTGAAATATTTTTTACAATTTAAAATAAGTGTTTTCTATTTTAATATATTTTTAAAATATATAATTTATTCCTGTCATGCAAGCTGAATTTTCAGCATCATTACTCCAATCTTGAGTGTCACATGATCCTTCAGAAATCAGTCTAATATGCTGATTTTCTGCTTAAGAAACATTTCATATTAATGTTGAAAACAGTTGTGAACAATTGTCTTTTTTTCAGGATTCTTTGATGATTAGAAAGTTCAAAAGAACAGCATTTATCTGAAATGTAAAGCTTTTTTAACAAATATAAAAAAAAATATTTTTTTTTATTGTAAAAATATTTCACAATATTACTGTTTTTGCTGTATTTTGGATCAAATAAATGCAGCCTTGGTAAGCATAAGAGACTTCTTTTTAAAAAATAATTAACTTTTAAAAATAATTTACTTTAGTAATTAACTTAATTACTAATCTAAAACTTTTGAACAGTAATGCATACATATATAAGTAAGGTTTAATTGGCACAAATCTACATGTCATTTTTTGCTTTTTAGTTTTTTGCCCTTTTTTTCTTTCTTCTTGGTGGCCCCAGGCCAGCCAAATCCTCTGAACTCCAAGCAGTCCACTGCATTATGGGAGATGTAGTAGATGTTCTCCATGGCTGCTGGACTCAGAATATCCACACTTGTCTTTGTGGATTTGGCACTGACAGACCTCTTCTTGGAGGAGCGCTTTCCTTTGCTCTTTGTTGCAGGTCTGGCACTTTGAGGTTTTGACTTCTTGGTGCCTGAAGGCTATAAAGTTCATATTATGAGATTTAGGAAGAGAATGAAAGAAATCGTTAAAAAAAAATGCACCAGATTTTTGTCTTTTTGACTTTAATGAAAATGTAAAACATCGAAGGAAGTGAAACATTTCTCACCATCATTGAGTGCCTTCCTCTCGCACAATAGTTGGATGCTTGAATGCACTCAAAAACAGAAATACTCTGAACTGACCCTTGTCAATGCATGTAAGGAAATGCTTGAAGTTTTCCTAGATTTTAAACTCATTTAACGTGATTTTGTAATCAGCTACCCAAAGGCATGTCACCAGAGAGTAGCCGTTCCCTATATGAGGTCTTTTGTTGTGAGCTGTTGTTTATCTGGGGTTGTCTTAGTGACGGCTCATGGGAGAATGGGACTCATCCACAACTGGCTTTTCAGGTCGGCCCGGGATCCTTTTTTTGCTGTGACCCTCCATGAATCTGCTCTGTTTCAGTACATGTAAGAATAACCAGATTCCTGCTAGTCATTTTAGAGTGACATTCAGATTAGAATTATAGGAACATTCCCTGAATTTAAATAGTAAATAGTCTAAAAATTAGAATATAAAAAGTTAATAAGAATGAACAAAAAATAAGTATAATAATCAATAAACAAACAGAATTAGAAAATTGGAAAAGTGTTTTGTCTTATTGAATACGTTTGTACACATTATATGACACATTTAAATATATTAATTTTACGTATGTATATCTGGCAAACAATAAAATAGTCAACTATTTATATAAAATTATTTAACGAAATTAGATATATATTTATAATACATATTTTATTTATAATGTATATATTATATTTTATATGTATTATTATATTTATATATAATAATGTATACACACACACACACACACACACACACACACACACACGTGTATATGTAGCCTAGAAATCTAGACGCACCCTAGAGGCCAGGCTAGTGTGTATGTATAGTAATCTGAAATGATTGATTAGTCCACCCTGACCATGCGCTGAGGAAAGAGACGGGTACCACGTGTCTTCATTGAAGCTTAATTAGATTTCGAAATAAGATAGAATCAAACCACACGGCTCAAGAGGTACAACAACAGCTATAACAATCGGAGAAGATATAAAGGTACAATATACTTGTATAGCTGGGCCTTGTCATCACCCTTTTACGAAAATAAACCATGGTTTTACTAGTAGAAGTGTATAGTAATAGATTTAGGCGGTTATCGTTTGTAGCTAGCCTATAACCACATTATTGGTAAAACACAAATAGCATGGTAAACAATAGTGTAGTAAAACCATGGTTAATTTGTTGTTACCATAGTTGAACAATAACCAGCTAGTTGTAGTAAAACCATGGTTAATATTATAGCAGCGATTTCATCAAATCGGACGCCAGATCACAACTGATTATGTCATGCAAACGTGTCAAACGTTAACACCCAGGCAATACATTTATTATCTGCCGAACTGTATCAATACAAAAAGCGTTTTAGCGTATTTAGGCATCTCTTCTTATGCATTAGGCATTTTTTAAGCTAAACTTGGGAGTCTCCCTCTAAAGGGAGGGGCTCTGATGTAATTCACACATTTCACCACAGGAGGGCGTTCAGTTGCTTTGGTTTTGTATTACAGCGATGCCCGTATCTGCTCAGCAAATGTAATCAACATCTGAAAAATTACAGGGTAATCCACAATTTATTAATTATATATTTTTAAAATCAATTCAAATTAATGTAATGAAAGCTTTTCCTCTGGCTCCAGTTATCTGCAAAAAATAAAAACAATTTAATGTAAGGCAATTTTTTCCCCTCTGTCTTTAGTTATTGGTGAAACAACTTGCAGCAAAGTAATTCACACAATTAATTCTGGAACGATGTAAAGTATGATTCAAGTCAAGGTTTTCCTGTGATTCTATAACTCTAGCTCATGTAATTCACTCAATTCACCACAGGAGGGCGGTGATCAGCTGATTTACACTAATTCGTATATATATCTAGCAATATAAATTAACAGACGTAATCAACATCTGCCAAATCACGTGTCAGAAATAATGATTGAGGCACGAATGAAATAAAGACTGGATCTAATTGCAAGCAGTTGATTTTTAATGAAAACAAGCTCAAAATAACACCTCAGATTCTCAAAATACAAACACACGGCAAACAGAACAACCACTAAATAAGATATGACAAAGAACACTACAAACACAGGGCTATATATACAAAAGATAATCAAAGGGGAAATATACAATTAAAAAAATTATATAATTATCCTTTGAAAAAACAACATCGATGTAATTCACAGAATTCACCGCTGGAGGGCGTTACTCGGTTGATTTCTGACGACTTTTTTTTTTTTTAAACATGTATCACAGATCTAAGAATATGTTTCTAACCATGTGGCGAATTGGCAGATTAAACAAACATCTGGCACGGGCAAATCAGATGGTAATCAATCGTTTATTACCTAATATTTAATCAATGCCTTAATAAAGTCTTTACCAAATGGTAATTCACTCAATTCACCACAGGAGGGCGTTAATTTGTTGATAACCAAAGTCCCTGTAAGACTGTATAATAGCTCTAACTTCTTTGCTTTGCTCTAACTCAAATATAACAAGATCAAAGCAATATACATTGGCAGGACGCAATCAGCATCTGCTAAATCACATGGTAATCAACAATTTATAAAATAATATTGAATCAATTAAAAATGATATATCCTCTGATCTGATTCACATTTTAGCTTCTTCAATGTAATTCCTAGTTGGTTAGGATCCTTTGATTCGTATGTTTTTATATATGTATTTTATCAAATCGCGAGATGGATAGAAGACAACAATACTTAAGAGTGATTTAATCCATATAGTTAGACTAAATATTGTTCTTTATAACAACAATATTAAATAAAATGAATATTAAAATATATCCTTAGATTTGTAAAAAATTTCGCAAAGGATAATAAATAGTTTATGAAATAATTTGTAATCAATGTAAAATAATATAATTTAAGGTTTTCTTCTGGCTTCAGTTATAATCGTAGAGAAAAAAACAGCAATGTTACTCACATAAATCACCACAGGAAAAGTGCTCGGTAGGCTACTCATTTGACTGAAATTTTTAAATATATATTACAGATCTAATATATTTCTAGTAAAAGAGTTACTTTGCCAGATGATTTATTGCTTCATATGGTAATCAAAAAACATTTGAAATAATATTAAATGAATGCAAAAAATATAATGCATGCAAGGGTTTCCACTGGTTCAAGTTGCTGCAGTGTAATTCACACAATTCACCAGAGGAGGGCGATACTGACTCAAATGTTTAAATATATCTAAGAATATATTTCTACAAACCAAAAGGTGTATATATATTTTTAACAAATCATGAGATAGAACACAACAAAACATGAGAATGTACAAGAAAATTGTCTTTTGTTTTAGTATACTGATATATAAAAAATTTTGAAAAAAAAAGAGAAGTTTGCTGGATGTTTTGCTGCAGTAATTAATCATTTTAGTATAATGTAATTCAAGGTTTCCCTTTGGCTCGATTTATAGCAGTAGAAAAAAACAGCAGTATAATTATTTCACTCAAGTGACCACAAGATGTTGCATAAATTGCATTCTGCTGATTTAAATTCCTCAAAATTCCTTAAATTCCTCTTCCTCAGTTGTACCCACACTCACGCACATCATAAACACCTCTCTTCACACTGGTACCTTTCCCACAGCTTTTAAGCAGGCTCGAGTAACCCCACTGCTTAAGAAACCCAATCTAAATCCAGCACATCTAACAAGTTACAGACCGGTATCTCTTCTTCCATTTGTCGCGAAAACACTTGAACGAGTTGTTTTCAACCAGATCTCCTCCTTTCTTACACAGAACAACCTCTTGGACGACAATCAGTCTGGTTTCAAAAGCGGACACTCAACTGAGACTGCCCTGCTCTCAGTAATTGAAGCTCTGAGACTGGCAAGAGCAGCTTCCAAATCCTCAGTCCTCATCCTGCTGGATCTGTCTGCTGCTTTTGACACAGTTAACCACCAGATCCTCCTGTCAATCCTAAAGATGAAGGGCATCTCGGGAACTGCACTCCAATGGTTCGAGTCTTACCTCTCAGGTAGGTCCTTTAGGGTGTCGTGGAGAGGTGTGGCGTCTAAGACCCAACATCTAGCTACTGGGGTACCTCAGGGCTCAGTGCTTGGACCACTCCTCTTCTCCATCTACATGACATCACTAGGATCTGTGATTCAGAAACATGGCTTTTCCTATCATTGCTACGCTGATGACACGCAACTCTACCTCTCATTCCAGCCTGACGATCCGACGGTAGCTGCTCGTATCTCAGCCTGCCTGACAGACATCTCTGGCTGGATGAAGGACCACCACCTTCAACTAAACCTTGCGAAGACAGAGCTACTTGTGGTCCCGGCCAACCCAACACTTCATCACAACTTCTCCATTCAGCTAGGCTCGTCATCCATAACTCCATCAAGGTCAGCTAAGAACCTTGGGGTTGTAATTGATGATCAGTTGAAATTCACAGACCACATTGCTAGAACTGCCCGGTCCTGCAGATTTGCCTTGCACAACATTAGGAGGATCAGGCCCTTCCTTACAGAGCATGCCACACAACTCCTTGCCCAAGCACTTGTTTTATCCAGACTGGACTATTGTAATGCTCTCCTGGCTGGTCTTCCAGCTTGCTCTGTCAAACCTCTACAATTGATCCAGAATGCTGCAGCCAGAGTAGTCTTTAATGAGCCGAAGAGAGCAAACGTCACTCCTCTCCTCACACAATTGCACTGGTTGCCAGTTGCCGCTGGCATTAAATTCAAGGCACTGACGTTTGCCTACAGAACAACCACTGGCACTGCTCCCTCTTACCTAAACTCACTACTTCAGACTTATGTGCCATCCAGAAACCTGCGCTCTGCTAGCGAATGTCGTCTTGTGGTACCATCTCAAAGAGGCACAAAATCTCTTTCTCGGACCTTTACCATGGCTGTTCCCTGTTGGTGGAATGATCTGCCTAACTCAACCAGAGCTTCTGAGTCAGTAGCCACTTTCAAGAAACTGCTGAAGACATATCTTTTTCGGCAGCACTTGATTCAGTAGAATTAACACTTTCTCTTCTCTTCTATTCTATAAAAAAAAAAAAAAAAAAACCTGCACTAAAATTAAACTGAGAGGGGTTATAGCACTTACGTATTGTTGTCCTACTGTTAGTTTAACTGCTTCTATTGTTCTCATTTGTAAGTCGCTTTGGATAAAAGCGTCTGCTAAATGAATAAATGTAAATGTTAAATTACAGATTATAGTACAATCTGATTATATTAACTATATTAACTTGTGATTGCTTCAGTGTAGGCTATTCATCAATATATGAATATCAAATCAATGCAAATAATTTAATTCAATGTTTAAATGAATTCAGCATAATTCACACAATTCACCACAAAAGGGTGTTTAAGTTCTTTTGACTTGCATGTTTAGAAAATATATTTATTTTAACAAATCATGAGACAGAACACAACAGAATGATGCAATCATTTTTTTTACTAAAATTAATGTTTTACAGATTTAAGAAATTAAATCGGTTCAGTTCAGTTGCATTATGATGTCATGAATCTATCATCACATCAAATCCTCATGATAAAATCGAAAATGACACGATGTCTTATGACAAGACTCAGTAAACAGTGAAAATGATTCACCTTTTTGGAGTTTTGTCTTAATCATAATAAATCCCACAAGAGTGCGATGCAAATCTCTGTCACATGCAGTCAGAGGTTTAAGTATCGCCCTCATGTGGAGAATCCAGGTTGAAAGCTTGTGAATAATGAAGTCAACACTCCATTTGCAAAAAAGTCCATTTGCAGGTTCCCCAGTGGCTCAGTGGTCTGAGTGTTGGTTATTGGTCTGGAGAATCCAGGTTCAAATCTCACTCTTGGAGTGAAAGTCCAAAAAGATCCAAAAAAAAGAGGAGCAAGTGTGGAAGTGCCAGTGGCTCAGTGGTATGAGCATGTCCTCTTCGTCAGGAGGTTCCCGGTTCGAAACCGGCCTGGTCATGGAAGCGCGGTTGCGGAACGAATGGTCACCTGATCATGAGGAGCGATCGGATTGTGGCCGGTGAGACGAGAGAAGGTCGGAAACGAAGGGGGAGGTAATATCCAGACGTCTCCCCCTGGGGTCTTCTGAGATGATAACCAGCAGTGGTTATACGACAAGTGAAAATGTTTACTTATTAAAAAATATCCTAACTGGAGACTAAGTCAACAGTTTTTCAGCCGTCACTCCTCGATAACCCACCACTCCGCAGTCTTAGACGCCTTCCACCTGGATCTCAGCCGACAGTCCTGCCACTGCTCATGTTCGGAAGGGCATCTCGCAACCGCGCTTCTGTGACCAGGCCGGTTTCGAACCGGGAACCTCCTGACAAGGAGGACATGCTCACACCACTGAGCCACTGGCACTTCCACACTTTCTCTTCTTTTTTTTGGACTCTTGTCTTTTTTTGATTCATTAAAAACCAATGAAACTAAAGCATTCTTCCACTCCAAGAGTGAGATTTGAACCTCGATTCTCCAGACCAAGAACCAACACTCAGACCACTGAGCCACTGGGGAACCTGCAAATGGACTTTTTTTTTTGGTGTTGCCTTCATTATTCATTTTAAAGTTCACAAGCTTTCGACCTGGATTCTCCACTTGAGGGCGACACTCAAACCTCTGACACTTTTAAAAAAAAGCTGCATGTGCCGGAGACTCTGATCTTCTCACAATATGATGCTGGACCGAAACATCCTGAAACCCTCAGAGAGTCTCGGGAGCTCTCGACTGAAGCTCTTCTCATCTGCTCTGAGACTCGTGATATTTGCTGACCTTTAAGGCTTTGATTCATTCATGATGAATCATATTCACAGTTTTCTGATTCTTGTCATGAGCTGATCAGTTTTGATTTTCTCCATGAGGAATTCATTTGATGGCAGAATTAAAAAAAAAAATCTCACATTTTTAAATATTTGAATCAGCAAGTTGCAACCAAACGCCCTCCTGTGGTGACCTGGCAGTACAAGAGTTTTTAATGATACACAAGAGCACATTTAAAAGATTGATGCAATACGAATCAGACACAGCTAGTACAATGGAGTATTATTCTCCACAAGGGTAACACTAAATTAATCTAGAACCACACAATAGTTTATATTTCTATATGTTGGTCAGTTTACTGTTAATTATGTGGTTCTGTATTTAATTCTGTCTGATTTAGTGGAGAATAATGTTCCGCTGAACTATCTCTGACTTTGATTCTTTTTGTGTTCATTTATTGAATTTTAAGGTGTGCATCATTAAAAATGCTTGTAGCCTACTATCTATCACAGGATGATGTTCGATTGCATTGAATTGTTTTAAATCTTTGACAATGTTTAACAGATTTTGTTCCATTTTATACCTTGACATCAAATCCTCATGGATAAAATCAAAACTGATCATCAACTCGTGGCACGAGTCTGAAAACAGTCAAGTTGATTCACCCTGAAAAAACAAATCAGTTTCAGGAGTTTCTGAAACTCATTCTCCACTTTAGGGCGACACTTAAAAAAAGCTGCATGTGACAAAAGGTGTGTTTGGCTTCAAGCGATTGAAAACATACGGAGCCGTCTGCTTTCTAATCGCTCTCGCAGTACTTTGATGTCACACGATCGGTCTGGCAGCTCCGCTTCAAGCCAAACACACCTTTTGCCACATGCAACTTTTTTTTATAATGTCAGCAGTGTGAGTGTCGCCCTCATGTGGAGAATCCAGGTTCAAATCTTGTGATGATAAAATGAGTGATGAGTTGGTTTTTGATGAAAAAAGACGACGGAGTCCAATAGAAAATAGAAGACCAAGTGCAGCAGTGCCAGTGGCTCAGTGGTATGAGCATGTCCTAAACGCAGACTGATCTCATGAAATGGCGTATAATGTATGACACGCCAATTCGTATTTCCATTTTTGGCGTGCTATCAACTCGCATAATCGCTTTTCAGCGTGTTTATGAACGCCGTTGACTTAACGTTACATTACTGTATATATAAATAAATGACCTACCCCAACCCCGTCCCTAAACCTACCCGTCACTGGGGTTAATACCATTTATGAGTCTTCCCCTACCATCCTAGGGAAAAAAATATCGCTCCCCAGATGTAGATCTACATTTTGCTTCGTTTCGCTCGGACATTTAACGGCGTGTACATACACGCGGAATCACTCGGACATTTAACGGCGTAAACATACACACAAAAGATGACGGTTCGTTTCGGCGTGGACATACACGCGGATAGCTCAAAATAGATAACACGCCACTTGACTTGAAAGTGGCGTGTATGTTTACGCAAAGTCATGATGCCATGTTGCCTTATGCCCCGTTCACACTACACGCGACCAAGCGACGCGATACCATTCATATCAATGGTGAGTGGGCGACTTCCAGCGACACACGCGACAGCGACCGTTGGCGACCGGATGGGGCGTGTCTGGCGACGCGACAAAGTTGAGATCGGTTTAACTTTATGCAAATGGAGAGCGACTTTCGGGAGCGACAACCAATAGGAGCGGAGCGCGTATGATCCTTCTCCACATCATTGGATGTCATTCATAAAGGCAACCAGTTGTGGGAACTCCCACTAGCGATCTCATCGCCGGCCACTGGCGACATGCAGCGACAAAGTCGCTTGTAGTGTGAACGGGGCTTTAGGCAACAAGGCATCATGACAGGTTTCCGGTTAAAAACTGGCTTGGTCACGGAAGCGAGAATACAAAATATATTTTGTTTCCTTTTACCACCATGTCCCTTTAGACTGGAGGCTCCGTCCTTTTTGAAAATGAGCTGATTTATTCAAGAGTCACTCACACATAGAGATTTTGAGATGATTTATTTTGTTAATAATGTGAATAGAGTAATGTAACTGAACATCGCCATCCTGTGGTGAATTATGTGTATCACACTGATGCAACTTATTTTTAGGGCTGCAACTAAAAAAAAAAAAAAAAACGGTCTCTGCAGTTAGAACAGGACATTATGTTAGAATAATCTAAAATATAACTGACTGAAAAAAGGAGCATTACATTTTATTAGTAAACAGAAAGGTAACAGAAATTGCAACACAAATAATCAGGGTCTGTCGATCTCCAAAATAGATAGAAAGAGGCAGTTAAACTTTATACGCGAGTCTTGAGAAATAACATTTCAAAGCTGGAAAATGCATTGAGTCTTAGTTTTGGTAGAGAACATTTCAGAATGTCAGTTGTGCTGAAAAAGCAATGTACCAGATGTAAATTTTCCCATTAGTAATTTGCCTAAAAGATGGCTTTTGGTTACAACCAAATGACAACAAATTTATCTCAATCTTTAGATTGATGGAAAGCTGGCTTTTATTTTAGACTTGTGTGCGGCTATTAAAATAAAAACAAGCAGGACATGATTATAAAGAATATACACAACATAAGTCTGACATCTTCTGCCATTTTAATGAGTTCAATAATTGGGTGATATTCATTTGTTTTGCAATATTGCTGGCTATATTGATTGGGTGCATTTGCCTGTGAAGCAGTCAACTACATTAGTAACATTAAAGTCAACATTTTAACATTTAACATTAACATTTGTTTAATAAAATATGTTATTAGAATCTTAAAACGTTAAATTTCTGTTTAATTTCCAAACAGTTAAATAATTGGAAACCTGCATTCTGCGACCAATTCTGCATTTTTTGTTTTTTAAAAACCTGTGGATCAATCATCATTGTTATTGTGGAAGAACTAAAATATTGTACATTTGAAATGAAACAATTGCAATTTAATTAAAAATATTATCCAGAATGTCAGTTACATGCTCTTGGAACTTTCTTTTTCTGGGAGACGTTCTGGAACACTTTTCCATCTGGCTGAGTTTTCAAAGTCAGTGAGAAAGGTCCGCTTATTTGTAACTTCTTCCCCATCTATGAGAGAACAATAGTAACATGAGCAGTCAGTAGATGACAGCAAAAAGTAGTGAAAGATGCAGCTCATTGTTACTCCACTGCTCTCACCTCCTCCAAGAGTTTACTCATGGTTCCAGGATCATTTGGGTTGAATTTGGAGTCAGTTTTCACCTCAATCCTCAACAGCACTTTCATACGCGAGTGTGAGTCCTGGCCAGGGTCTCCATATGTGATAGTGAACGCTAAAGAGCAGTATAAAAGATGCAAAGTTAGGTTAGAAATTTTTTTTTTCTTTATAATAAATCAAATCAGTCCAATTATGGATTATATATATTCTTGTACTAGGAAAATGTATTATTATATAAAATAATATTACTTTAGTTTTCAGACCATTTCTTCCAGAATAAGATAAACATTATAAAAGGGCAAAAACATAAAAAATCAGATGATAACTTTTTTTTACTGATGTAGAATTTATTTATAGAATGCAATATAGATTAAACACAAATGCATGCACGGCTTATAATTTACTTAATGTATTTATTAATATTTATAAGATATTTTTACACTTTACACCACACCGATAAAAAGAACAAAAAACAATTACAAAAAGTGTAGATGCTAAAAGTCAGTCTAGTTAATTTACTCATTCACTACAACAAGAGCTTTTCAGATCTTGATTTTAGCGTAGCATATATACCATTGCACCTGAGAATATGCACTAATCTGTTAACGTAATAAGTTGCACAAAAATTAAAATTCTGTCTTATTTACTTGTATGACGCCTTCATAGACATTAGCTGAGTTAGACGCCATATTGCAGATGAATTTAATGCAGAAAAATTATGCTGTGAGGGATAGGCATACAGTCCATACAATGGGCTAAAGCTACATAATTTTCACAACTCGGTCTGGTGTTTTGGTCTACTGAAAGTTTTTTTTTTTTTTGAAAGATGTTTCATCATCCAAACAATCAGATTGTTGTTAAACAGCAGTACAATTTATTGAACGCACTGTATTCTACTCCTCACAGCCTTGTTTTCATTCCTATCAAAAATTAAATATGGCGCTATCCTGACTATATAGGTCTATTGAAAAAACTTCTCAAAAGAATGATTGAAAGCAAAAATAACTGCACAGAGGCTTGGAATGGCATGAGGGTGAGCAAACAATGCAAGTGGTGCTCACTGCAGAGCCATATGGGTCAAATACGTTGTGACCAGCTAGCCCAGCTCTGTGTAACTAACTAAGAGGTGGAGCTTAAGCCAAATAGGTTTAGGGATAGGGCTACGGTTAGGGGTGTGTGTCTTAACCTAGCCAATGCTCCACCCATTGGCTCTGCAGTGAGCAACCCCTCAAATAATGACAATTTCAATTTTGAGTGACCTATTCCTTTAACTGTAATTGGCGGTTTGCAACTCACGACTGCAGATGACTCCAGCGTGCTCTGAAAATCCGCAGTCATGTGTTCCCCATCCCTGAAATGCACAGGTGCTCAGTGCTACCTCTTCCCCAGTACAGTTTACATTGTCCATCCATATTTGTCCTGATGTGGCTCCAAAAAAAGAACCATAGGTTAATTCTTTAATGTCCCCACAGCCCATCTCTCTACACACCACTGCAGCATCTGACAGATCCCAGCCATCATCACACACTGTTCCCCATATTCCATTATGGAACACCTCCACTTTTCCGGAACAAGTGTCAATGCCGTTAACCAACCTCATTAGGGCTGATGCAAAAGAAAACAAAACACTAATGTCAAGCAATTACAATCATATTGACTTTTGTTAAATTACAAACACTGAAATAAATACAATACAAAACGCAGTGGTTCACTTACACTGACAGATGACTCCAGCATCTTCTGAATGATCACAGTCATGCACTCCCCACTGCTGAAAATCACATTTGCTCAATGCATGATCAGTTTTAGAGCAGTTTACATCATCCATCCATATTTCTCCTAAACCTTCTCCAAAATAAGCTTTCTTCTTTGCCTCTACAGCATCCCCACAGCCCATCTCTCTACACACCACTGCAGCATCTGACAGATCCCAGTAATCATCACACACTGTTCCCCATATTCCATTATAAAGAACCTCCACTCGTCCAGAACAGGAGTTGAAGCCACTCACCAGCCTAGTTCTTACTGAGGAGACGCATTAAAGTGAAAAAAATAAATAAAGTGTGATAATATAGAGCACGATTAGATATACAATTAAACATATTGTAAAAGGTTTTTTACTCACGCTGACAGATGACTCCAGCATACAAGTCGTCTAGGCATGCGCTTTGTCCCCAATTGTCCACTGCACATTCTGTCAGTGAGGATTCAATCCCAACACAGTTCGCCTCATTTATCCATACTTCTCCTGAGCTCGGCCCAAAATATGCGGCCATCTTCACCTCTTTAGCTTCCCCACAGCCCAATTCTCTACACACCACATTTGCGTCTAACAAATCCCAGCCTTTGTAACACACCATTCCCCATATTCCAAACTTGAGAACCTGCACTCTCCCAGAACAGGAGCTGCTGCCATCAACTAGTCTGACTGAAGCAGCCTTGCTTAATGTGGAATTTCCCAGAACTGCTTGTCATGAGAGAAAAAGCACAGAGAATCACAAATATGTAATGCAGTTTGTAGGGCAACAACTAAAAAGGTAGTTTATGTAGGAGAGCTGTGTTTGAGCTCTTACCTTGTAGTAAAATGAGCCATATGGTGCACAGCACTGCTGCGGAAAAGAAACTAAGAAAAGATATAGAGTATTTGCACTGAATAACGTAATAGGTAGTTTCTTATACTTCCTAATGACTATATAAAGCCAAATGGATTGGACCATTTTTTGACAGTCATAAGTGGCCCAATTGAACTGATTTTTTTTTTTTTAAATCAAAAAGCATGTTAAGCTGACAGATCAGTAATACCATTCTCTAATTCTATTGTCTAAATGAAAATTATTTGTATTACTACTAGACATATATTTTATAGAGAATCAATCACACTTTGAGAAAGGACAAATAAATAAACATTAACATTTATTCTTTTAGCACAGAAATAGAAGCAGCAGAATAAAGTCAGAAAGTTCAAAATATGACTAAGGGTTTAAACCTTTTGAAGTGTCCCATGTATGCTTCTGTATTCTTTCTCCCTCTGAAAAATAAGTTTGTATGTTGGCAATTTATAGTGTTTTTATTTAGAGGTACAACCTCCAGCCCATATGTCTCCTCCCTTCAGACAATCACACCTTTTTAGTGTATTATTTTACATATGTAAATTACAGCATATACTCAACAGGTATAGTAGTTAGTAATTTGCACTTGAGGAAGCAGTGACCTAAGGATGCAAACAGGTTAGACATAAAAAAAACGATGAGGTGTTGATCACATTCATTTATTTCATTCATTCAATCTTTATTAAGGACACAGAATCCCGGTCCATAGTATAAAAAAAAAAAAATGGAACCCCCCCCATATAATACATTGTGTCACAATAGTTGCAATCACTCTGTCTCTCAGATATTATCCCTTTCAACTTGTTCTCTCTCTCATAATGCTGGGTGTTTTAGGGGTCATTCTTTGGAACTGTCTGCATTATTTGGTGTTCGCAGAAATTATGATTCTGTTCAAACTTATGCTCTTGCAAACAAATAACACTTGCTTGGCACTACACAAAAGGCTGTTCATTGTTTGCATTTTGTTTGGTTGTTTAAATGAGTTGTTCCTCCCTAATTTCTCTGTAAGGCCCCATTAACAGGATGCAAACTGTGAAGCTTTTGAATATTTACCTTTCAGAAATAATCCATCATTCTTTAGGACTGTCTGTCAAGTTCCAAAATGGACAACAAAGCAGCACCATAATAAGACTTGTGTGCTTTATTACATGTCTTCTGAAGCCATGTCTCAAATAAAAGTCTAGTTTCTGTAATTGTGCATGTTGCACCCTGCTGTTGTTGTTTTTGAATAGGTTGCTTTTCCTGCTAAATGCATGTACATGTCTGTCTCAGTTCATTACCCATTGCAAATGGTTAACAAAACTACTAAGGCCTTGTTAAGTGAAAAAATCTGGGCCCGTATTCATAAAGATTCTAAGAATCCTCTCAGAAAACTCTTAATTTAGCTTAAAAACTTTTACGTAGGAGTCTTAGCTTAAGAGCGATTCGGGAACGATCTGAGAGCAACTCTGAGTAAGGAAAAGACAAAAACTCTCATCTTAGTGAGGAGGCGGGGCTGACCCCGTTGCTATGTATGACACAATCTTTTGAAGACTGTGATTGGTTGGTTGTCCAAGAAGGAAAAAAAAGAGCCATTTTAAGTATAGAGTTTACTCACACACACACACGCACATTGTATTATGTATATAAATCCTTTTTTTTACCTTGCTGTTAATTTCCTAAGGTATTTGATTGGCTTAGAATGATAAAAATTGTTCCACTCTTTTCAATTACACTGATTGCTGTCTATTTAAGTGGTGGTTTGAATGTTTGTTTTAATATAGCAAACATGAATTAAAAAACAAGAAAGACGAGAAAGCCCGACTGGTCGGAAGAACCGTGTTTACTGTTAGCCCAGTTAGTGGATGAACACTAGGCCATCATTAAAGGAAAATTCGGGCCGGGTGTCACAGCATGGAGCGAGAAGCGCACCAGGGAAGCCTGCTATATTCATAACTGCAGTTTTTTTGAGCCTGCAAGGTGGGAATGTCCAGTGGAAACGTCTCGGTTACGGATGTAACCCTCGTTCCCTGAGTAGGGAACGGAGACGTTCCGTCGGATGACGACGAATGGGGTTTCGCTTAGAAAGCCAATCGACTTCGAGTACTACAAAACGAGCCAATGGCAAAGAAATGCCATGGGTCTGCGGAATTTGCATAGCGTAACTCCGCCTCACCTCGTGGGTATTTAAGGAGCACGCTGGCAGCAAACCGGCATGTTTTCTTCGCTGAGGAGCCAAGACTGAGCTCAGGCGATCCCCGCGGCACAGCGGAAGTGGCAGACAGACGGAACGTCTCCGTTCCCTACTCAGGGAACGAGGGTTACATCCGTAACCGAGACGTTCCCTTTCGTTGTCACTCCGAGTTCCGTCGGATGACGACGAATGGGGATACCAGTCTAATCACGCCACTTCTCAGCTGTCTTCCAGTGCCCTGCGTAAATCTGAGATCCCTGTCGTGAGACTAGCACGGACGAAGGACTCCTATTTAACACAGGAATACCAAGGTACACTGGGGAGCATATCCCAGATCTTTTTTAGGGAAGTATGCAATTACTGCCAACCCAGAGGGGGGGACTTAGGAATACACATATGACCCGAGGGATGCATATGGGGAATCACTGGGGTGTCCAGCCGCAGGTGGAATATTTCAACCCCAGGGGTGGCAAGGTGGCTTGCCAAGGGAAAGACACATGCTCAAAGAGGCTTACAGTGGAAATACACATGTGGGGGTAGCTCAGAGGAGGTACCATGCACACGGGAGGCACCTAGCCGACGCGCAGGCAATAGACACTGGCGCCAGCATCAGAAGTGCTGGAGGAACTCAGGGCTTTCGGGGAAGCTCACCTGAGCAAAAATATGGCACGTATCCAGTCCGTGGAGTGGAGTGGCGAGCAAGCGAAGACACCTTACAGAACCCATGTTAGCTTGAAAAAGACAGTACACGGGAGGAGACTGGCTCCACTCGGAGATTGTAAAATCTGGCGAAAGTGTTAGGTGTCGCCCAGCCTGCAGCTCTGCAGATATCTGTTAGCGAGGCGCCATGCGCTAAAGCCCAAGAGGATGCCACACTCCGGGTGGAGTGGGCAGTCACACCAAGGGGGCACGGTCGACCTTGCTGCTGGTATGCCAAGGCAATGGCGTCCACTATCCAGTGAGACAACCTTTGCTTGGAGAGAGCCTTTCCCTTCAGCTTCCCACCATGACAGACAAAGAGCTGGTCTGAGGTCCTGAAACACTGCGTTCTGTCTACATAGATGCGAAGAGCACGTACTGGACAGAGCAGTGCCAAGGCTGGGTCTGCCTCCTCCGGGGGCAGCGCTTGCAGGTTCACCACCTGGTCCCGAAAGGGAGTGGTAGGAACCTTGGGCACATATCCAAGCCGGGGTCTCAGGATCACGTGAGAATAGCCCGGCCCGAATTCTAGGCACGCTTCGTCAACGGAGAATGCGTGCAGGTCCCCCACCCTCTTAACGGAGGCCAATGCAGTCAGAAGCGCTGTCTTCATAGATAGGAAGTTTAGCTCGACTGACTGCAAAGGCTCAAAGGGAGCACTGCGCAGGGCAGTTAGGACCACTGCGAGGTCCCAAGAGGGTACGAGAGGAGGACGAGGAGGATTCAGTCTCCTTGCTCCTCTCAGGAACCTGATGATCAGGTCATGCTTCCCCAAAGACTTACCTTCTATAAGGTCATGCTGTGTGGCAATAGCGGCTACATAGACCTTAAGGGTGGAGGGAGACAGCCTTCGCTCCAACCCTTCTTGAAGAAAGGAAAGCACAACACTGATCGAACAACTCCGGGGCTCTTCTCGGCGAGAAGAGCACCAGCTGACGAAGAGGTTCCACTTCAACGCGTAGAGGTGTCTCGTGGACGACGCTCTAGCGGAAGTGATGGTAGCCGCCACCGCTGGTGGCAGGGTACTCAAACCTGCCTCGTCCCGTCCAGGAGCCACACGTGGAGGTTCCAAAGATCGGGACGAGGGTGCCATAGGGTGCCCCGTCCCTGAGAAAGGAGGTCCTTCCTCAGAGGAATCGGCCAAGGAGGTGCTGTCGCGAGGAGTACAAGTTCGGAGAACCAGGTCCGGGTGGGCCAGTACGGCGCGACCAGAGTGACCTGCTCCTCGTCCTCCCTGACCTTGCGCAGGAGTTGCGCAAGAAGGCTCACTGGGGGAAACGCATATTTGCGGCCCCGCGGCCAGCTGTGCGCCAGAGCATCCGTGCCGAGCGTGCCCTCGGTCAGGGAATAATACTGGGCGCAATGGGTCGAGTCGTGAGAGGCAAACAGATCTATCTGTGCGTCCCCGAACTGGTCCCAAATCAGCTGAACCGTCTGGGGATGGAGTCGCCAATCTCCGGGGAGGGGCTGAAGCCGTGACAGCTCGTCGGCTGCACAGTTCAGGGCTCCAGGGATGTAAATGGCTCGAAGCGACCTCAGATGCTTCTGACTCCATAAGAGGAGGTGGCGGGCGAGTTGCGACATACGGCGGGAGCGCAGACCACCTTGACGGTTGATGTACGCTACAGTGGCGGTATTGTCTGTTCGGACTAGTACGTGTTGATTCTTGAGCACGGCCCGGAAGCGGCGCAGAGCAA